TAATCATCTACATATGTATGTATGTATGTATGTTTATGGAATAATAATCACGAGTAGGAAGATGCTTAGTTCGTTGTGCAATTTTTTTACCTCGTTGCTTTCTATTGTTATACTTTATTTTTTAATTGTTTCCTTCTTTCTTACGTTGCTGTAATTCGTTATTTTAATTCAAGCAAATTCCTGAGCTCTTGTAAGTTGAATAGTTATTCTCGTGTTTCCAGTCGTTTCGATGCAACTTTCACCCACTCGATAATGCCATCACCACAATGTCCATAATGTTACATTATGTATGATGTATACATATATACATACTTATGTTCATACATATGTAAACATATTTATCTTCTGTTTGCTATTGTAGATTCCAGAGTAAACTTTGTTGAGCCTCTTCCTCAGTTAAAATCGTGCAACTGAATCCATATGCAAAAAAGTTGTTCTCCTTTCTTTCGTTTACACTTTCTGGACACTTTTTTTTCATTTAGCTTGCGTCTTAATAAAGAAAAATGTGAAAGAATTTTTTAATATGCTCACGAAAAGAAAAATGTTTTTGCGGTTAGCATGCAGGCATACCCGGATTCAATCTCTTTGTGACCATCAATGATTTTTTTTTTTGAAATTATCATATTGTGTGTTTTGGGAATTCTTTGAAATTACTGAGCCTATCGACTTCATTTTCACACGACCTTCTCTGTTATATTTGCCAAATAATGATCGAATGCTATAAGATTTTTCGATATCGATTTTTTGTGCCGCTGTAAAGTGTAAGCTTTTTCACAAAAATCTACTTTCTTTGGCGAAGCACCATTTTGTCAAAAAATCGTAATCAAAATTTTTACCAGTTCTTTGCTCATTACCTGTTTTCTTCTATAGTAATAATATTTTTTATTGAACAATTTTTTTTATCACAATTATTAGAGCGGGTCGATTTTCTTTATAAAGTTGCATATGCAGGAAATGTTCTACGTATCATTTCGAACAAATTTGCCTGAGAGACCAAGAGTCCAAAACTGGTTTCAAGTCAGCGATTTTTGTGGCTCCCTGTAACTCGACCCGCCCTAATATTTATGTACATATGCACGTATATACAGATCTATTTTATAATAATATTTGTACAATTTTACGTATTTTCAATATCAGCAACTTAATATGCAGATATACATATAATTTGTATGGATGTATGCTCAATCTCTATATATATACTTTTATAAATAAATTTATTTTGTATACAGTATATAACTCCCAGTACTTTTGCATACATACAGTAGTGACCATTACATATGCAACTAATACATTAGTTTAGAAAAAGTTGATATATTTTACCAATAACTTGTGCAGACCGTCGATTGAATATGGAATTATTAAAATTTGGTATTTTTACTTTTCTTTAACGTTTTTAAACAAAAAAATGTCATTCACAAAAAAAATTATTAGAATACCATTTTTATTTCAACTCCAAAATTACGTGGACAAAACATATGCAACTCCGAGTTTGAGTTCAAGTAACACTACTATAGCGGTATTTTTCCGTTACTATTGTGCTTCCACTTTATAAATAATGAAATGTCGTTAGTTTTTGTAAACTAATTTTTTTGTTAATTCCGCCAAAGAAACCTGGTTTTGGTTTTATTGAAAATGGCAAGAGACAATTTTGGAATTGAACTTTGGAAGAGAACTAGGAATGGCACAAAAAAACATTCTTTGAAAATATGAATTGCACAAACCACAATTTCACGAATAATAAAAAAATCGTTACAACAAAAGAAGTTTTTGTTATGCACTGAGGCGGTCGCGTTCGCTAAACGAGCCAAAGGACGGACAATTTTACTATTGAACTAGCGAAAAAAATCCTGAAGCTGTCTCATCACAAATAATTAAATTTTTATATTTGCAAATATCCACAAGTGTGCGTAGGCGCCTCTTAAAAGCTTCCCTAAAACGTGGTCGTCCCTCGCACAAACCGATGGTTTCGGTAAAAAAAAAACTAAGCGTTTGAAATTCGCTAAAAGGCGTCTAAATTGACCAATTAATAAATGGAAAACGGTTCTATTCAATGATGAGTCAAAGTTTAACTTAATAGGCAGTGATGGACTGTCTTATGTGAGAAGGCTAGTAAATAAAAAATCCGTCATTGCAAGATGGTAGTAAGGCATGGTGGAGGAAATGTAATGGTATGGGGCTGCTTTTCTGCTAACCGAATTGAGCTATTATATAAGATTAATGGAATTTTGAATCAATACGACTTCAAATGTATTTCAAAGAGTGCCCGGTTAAAATAAATACCATCTTATTTTGTTTTCTTTTGTGAATATATTTTTAAACAAAAAACGTTAAATAAAAGTAAAAATACCAAATTTTAATAATTCCTTATTCAACCGACGGTTTGCAAAAGTTATTGGTAAAATATATCAACTTTTTCTAAACTAATGTATTACTTGCATATTTTATGGTCACGTCTGTATATGGTTCTACCTACTCACGGGCACTGTATTTAAAAGATTGTGCATTTTATCAGAGAAAAGTTTGCATGTACACACATACTGTATGTATGCATGTAGGGACATCGCCTCGGTTCAGCTTTGCCTGCTCATTCGCTTTGTGTGCTATACGACAGCTGTTGGAAAGTTCAATTACTTTTCTAGCATCATCACCATCATCATCATCGGCAGTGCGGCCGCAGCGCGAGGCAAGGCATCCAGCACTCGACAGTAAGCTTCCAGTCTTCAGCCTCCTAACTACAACCAATACATGCATATATATTACATGTGTACATATACCACATCTTCCACCTCAACTGTGATAGGAAGGAGAGGGGGTACTCCTCTTCCACCTCCTTATCCCGCTTCAGCTGCCAACTCCACCCAGGCGATTTTTACGCGGAGGTTTGTTCGTTGTTTGCTCTGTCATACTATGTACTTTGTACAGATTATTGTTGCTTTTCTTGTTGTTTTTAATGCCACCATTTGTGCTACTTTCTGCTGCCTCTACACCTTTTTGGGTGAGAAATAATTTTCTAGACTATTCCAGCCTTTGCATATGGGCAATTGTTGTGGATATCATGCCCAGTAGTGGGGATAACAGCCACAGCAACAACAGCAACGACAATGAGAACAAAACATTAACTACAGATTGCTAACGAATAATCAACTTCAACAACTTTGAACTTACATAAAAGGAATGTATGTATATACATAAATACATATGTACATATGGGTGGATGTACATGTACTTGTGAGAACATACATTTATTTATGGTATGCCATATGCATCAGGCATAAACTTGCCATATAATTTTGGATGATTTTATTTTCTATACACGAACGCTAAACAAACCTTGCCACCTAATATTTTAATATTTGGTAGTTTTTTTTTACCAATTACCGCGGTTTAACTTAGTGCTATACACGAATATGCCACCATGAACAGTTTTGGTCTGGACAGGTTATAGAGCAACAAGTTTTTCATGAGCTCATTTTGGAACTTCCAGATACTATATACTATTACAAAGCTCATATTTTATATTAAATAATAACAGAATAGGTAGGAATTCTTCCTTAAAGATAATATCACATATATGATCATATCGTATTTTGAGATATCAATCTGAAATTTTGCACACACCCTTTTCGCCCCAGATCCGCCGATATTGAACTACTATAGCATATAACTGCCATACGAACTCACCGATCCATATCAAAGCCTTATAGGGAAAGCTTCTGTAGTTGCCAGATATTCACGGTATTTTCACGAAATAATCACAGAACAAATGGTGAGATCGGACAACTACAGCATTAAGCTGACCGATCAAAGATCTTAATTTTTTTCCTTATTAGTAACATTAGTTACTCCGTCAGTATTGCATTAAGTTTCCTTGCGTGATTCTTCTCATATAAAAATTTAAATATTTTATTACGATTTTTTTTTTTTATTGTTACAAAAAAAACATTATTAAAAGAGATATTCTGGAACTTTTTGAAAAAATATTTAAAACTCGCCATTACGACGCCATATCCGGTGACGCCTCGGAAAAACAATGCACCCGCGTTGGCAGGATAATTTAAAGTGAAAAAATACGTGTTTTAGTGAAAATCTTAACCTAGAATTTAGACAAAGAAAAAACTGAAAATTGAATTTTTGGCAGACATTTTTACAAAAAAATGAAAATTTCGCGACATTTTATTTCTCAAATAGTTGTAATCGAAAAAAAGTTCTTCGTCCAAGTCTTTAAGAATTGTATCTCAAAGACCTATTGCATGAAGATTGGTTGAGTAGTTCTCGAGAAATCTTGCCAATCAACATCAAAAACACAGTTTCGGGAAAAATGCGTTTAAAGAGCCTAGCTAGCCCCGAACGCACAAGTTCTCAAGTCTGTATCTACGAAATTATTACTCGGACCAAGTTGAAAATTTAGAACAATATTCTAGAGGTGTTATAGAATTTAATAAGACAATAAAAATAAGATTTTTTGAAACCAATAAACCCATTTAACCCCTTAATCGTATACTACTTCCAAAAGAATTAAAAAATTCCAATTCATTGCAACCAAAATGTAAAAAAAAACAGCAAATTTAAATTTGGATCTGTATAGTTATACAGATTAAAAAGATCTCTATAAAAATTAAATAAATAACTGAAATAGAAATCATTTTTTATATGAACAATTCTGGTCCATTTTGAACGAGTTCCATTTTATTATTTCTCTGACTAGTTCAATTTTGGGCCGCAATTTCTTGACAAATGTAACATTCCACTGTGGAGAATTTATTTAGTTAATAAATATAGTGACTTAAGAAACAACGAGTGTTTGTATGCACAAACTGATAAATTTTTCTTTTTGTTCCTTCCCTGCGCGTTTCTCTAAGTTATACGGATACTACAATATTATTAAAATTGTACTATACTAAAATTGCTTTGCATACATCAATTTCACACATACCTTCATATATAAATACTTATTACTACACAGATATTATAAACCTGCATATGCATTTATAAGCACCGTGTGATTTCATTGCTTTTATTTAAATTGCAGTTGAGACCTACATACATTCATACGTATGTATTCCTACAAATTAGCATTGAAAACACTCGCTTGATCTCCAACCAAACAACCACTTATTCGCCAAAATCCACTTAACTCGCCCTTTCGCCACCTGGTCTACCATTTCGTTTCGCTCCAACTACGCTGTCACTAGAAATTCAAATAATCACATTCCTCAATACCTTCTCTCACTCAAATTAACACAATCGATTGATTTTTTCTTACTTTTTGCCCTTTTCGCTTTCATTTCAACAGCTAGTATACTTATCGCCTCGATCGCTTGTTATACGCAAATACCCATGTGTTTGCATCGACTATTACTGATCGATCGTGCTGATTATCGACAATTTGTGCGCTACAAGTATTTAGTTCTGTGCGCCAGTATCAGGCAGCTTCTAATCGCAACAAAGGTGCCATCGAAATGAAGATCTAAATTTAGCAGCCCGAAATAAATTTACTGTGCATTCCGTTTTATACTTCTTGCCATATACATATGTAAATGCAATGGTGATTGTGGAATTGCTTAAATGTACATGTTTACATATGTATGTGCTTTTTCTGTTTCTACATTTGTACATATAGACTATATACTGAATATTTTGTTAATCAAATATTTGTTGTAAACAAAGCGACTGAATGGAATGTTCATTTCTCTGTATAAATATTGCTGATCTCTGATCGTTTGAACTATGATAAACAGAATAAAATTTCTAACGTGAAAATATTTCAAATGTTTTTAGGAAGGGTGAAAATTTAGCAAACGTATTCGTTACTTTTACTATCTTTAATGGCTTCAATAGTCCTTGAGATGAGTTCAGTAATCTTGTAAGATTTTATTTAGTCTTCTTTCAAGAGATTATTACTCAACTCAACTCAAGGACTAATAAAGCCACTAAACCTTTTCCACTCCTTAGATAATTTATATTTATCTTAAGTAGTTAGCACAGAAAATTACTGTATTTATGGACCGTGAATTATGGGTATTTTTACAATCTGTATCTGTCTAGTTCCCCTTCTTCTTGAATTTGCTCGATAAGTTTGTATGGCAGCTATATGCTGCAGTAGCTCGAACCGAACAAGAGAATCGAAGATTGTAGCCTTGAGTTGGGCAATAATCCATGCTAAATTTTGTCAAACCAAAAAATTTTCCATACAAACACTTGATTTTGATCGATCATTTTGCATGACAACTTTATCTTAAAATGCTCTGATCGGCGATACCGACAAATAATAAGTATCTTCAGGAGAAAGAGACTTGTGTAAAATTTGAGATCGACATCTCAAGTACTGAATTATTAGTTAGCTCGCTAATATACAGAGGGACCCATATGACTAAACAGACTCTGCTCGCCATGTTGTACAAACGTGGCCTTTATAAGGTCTCCGACGATTTCTTCTCTACGTGGGAAGCTTAATATGCCTTGTGCAGGGTATAATGACCCAATATGCGAAAAATATGAAAAAATGCATCAGTAATTTCGTCTCCTGTCTCCTATAAACAATAATTAGTGAGCGTGATCACAAAACTCTTAAATTTTCCAGTTAGAACGCAATTATTTTATAAATTAAAGTCACGTAGATTAATGCAAAAAAAACACGAGGTAAACATGAGATGACCTTCGAGCTTTTATAGGGTTGAATTATTAATACCCACTTTAGTTGAATTCCATTAAAAATATTCATAAGTAACGAAAGTGGTTTTTATTAATTGTACATACTATTATACATATATATGTATGTCATATATGTACACATATTCTATATATAAATTTATTGACTTTTTTTAATTATTTATAGATTTATTGACTTTTAGCGTTTTGGGCATTTTTGTGGAATCAGAAAGTCATACATACATACATTTGTAAATACATACCATATCGTCACTTAAAATGCAAAATGACGTAACACCACTTTTCACAAGTTTAGAGGCAAAGGAAAAACAATATATGGAAATCACTTATATTAAAATAAAACTTGGCTTTCGGTTATAAAATGATAATATAATATATTGGTTATAAAATGGTTATATATTGGTTATGTCTGCTAGCCGAAGCTTGAAATTTTACAATATTACATATACAATGAATCGTAAGCATTAAAAAACTCAATTTCTTTTTTTGGATGATACGTTGTTTTGCATTTTAGTTGATGATATATACTTATTGTAGTTGGGTGTTTAGGAATGCATTTAAAGTTACCCTTGAGTATACTTGTGGGACGCATATAATCAACTAATTTACCAAAACATTTATTTTCTTAAATAAAGGGTGTTGCGAGATTTGCGGGCTATTATTATTATGTTTTAAGTTATACTATATGAGCAAAAAATAGTGAGACTTTGTTCAGAATTTTCAAATTCTTAATTTATTCTTCAAAATCTGGGGAGGGAGACGACACAGATCAAAGTAGTCTCCCTTGGACTCAATACACTTGTGTTAACATATTTTCAATTAAAAGTGAATTTCCGGAAAAGCCTTCAATGCGGGTAGCTAATAACGTTTAATGGCTTCAATTGACTCAAAACGGTTAGTCCAGAGCGGTCGTTTAAGTTTGCAGACGAATACGGTGATTGCCAAACGATGTTGGTTGAAAATTTAGTTAAAAACTCACAAAGATTTAATGCAGTATGGGACGATCCGTTATCGTGGTGCAAAAATCAAGAATTGTCGGTCCAAAATGGTATAGTATAGTATAGTATTCCTTGTTGACAGCTTGGCCGGTCGGAAGGAATTCGGAGTACACCACATATCGATAATCGAAAAAAACTGTCAACAAAACTTTGATTTTTGAACTCTTTGGACGTGGTTTATTTCGGTTCGGCTCTCCAATGTCACGATTTACGTCCCACTGACTTTCAGGTCGTAAGCATAAATCCAATACCTATCGTTAGTAATAATACGTTTCGTGACATCACAGTAATCGAAAAGCCCACAAAAGTTAACGCGACACTATTTTTCGACAAGATTTTGTGATTTTGGAACCAATCGTATCTTCACTTTTCTTAGGCCCATATGATCTTTCAAATTGGTTTTCACATATCCTTCCGGTATTACAACGATGCCAATAAAATCTCTGTTAATTATCGTATTTCATGCACAAATTCCTTTATTTTATTGACGCGTTGATCATCAGTTGATGTATATGGTTGTCCTAGGTGTAGTTCGTCGTCAAGGCGTTCTCGACTGACTTTAAATAATTTGTACCAATCAAAAGTACTTAGTGGCGACAAACAATTATCAACGAATTCCTTTTCCGACATTCTAAACGTTTCGACACCTGAAATTCGATTCCGCAAACAAAATTTAATGGAACTTCTCACTCAACGTAAAAATCGAGGAATGCAGTTTAAGTACTTCCGAAAGACAAGCTTGTACTAAGCACTAAAGATTATTTTGATGTGACATTTGGCACAGATGTCACTAAAAATCATACCAACCCGGAAAAAATATTTCGGCAAATGTGGTTTTGCGAGAAATTTTACTTAAAAGTCTTACATTTTGCCCACAGTACTGTATGGTTAAGTTTGTCGGCCAGAGACTTGAATTCTTAGATTTTATCTCTCATGCATATCTAAACACCCTTTATTAATTGATTTTTATATTGCCGACCGTGTCACGTCATCAACAGTTGGTCGCGATAAGGCGAAGTTATAGCAAGTATGTACTACACAATTATGCCACTTAACGTCAATGATTTTTACAATGGCAATTGATTAAAGATTGATCGTTTTAAGAATGAAAATCTTGAAACGTATGTATGACTTTTTTTTTGTGTTTCTAGGTGAATATTTATACGATAAGAGTGCAAAAAATAATTAGGAAAAACTATTCTTTCTTTTTATATAATATAAAAGAACATAGTAAAATCAATCATTGAAATTAAAATAGCGTCTGTGACTCGTATATGCCTGTCTGTAACTAGAGTACCGATCACAATTTTTGCTCCTGATCATTCAAATGTATCAATGTAAGTAGTATATCACTTCTGGTTTATACTGTTTGCTTTTTTTGTTTTTGCGCAAAATACCAACATATCTCGCTGCTAAACCGCCACAACGCATTATTCGCCGCTATTCGCTATTTTATCAGTCGCTATCTGATATTTTATTGCATTAAATACCTAATTAGGTAAGCATGTCATGTCGGTGAAATATTTTAAATTATTCGAGTATGCGATTGAAATGTGAAAGACAATTTATAGCGCATTGTCAGAGCGTTGCCATTTCAGACACTATATAATATAGCATAAACATATGTATGTATCTGTATGCTATATATGGATGTGAGTGTAATACTGTGTGCCGCACAACAGTCAAGTGTCTCTTTACACACATTTTATATAGTATTATAATTAAGTACATATGTGTATATGTATATACAATGTGATTGAGTGAGCTGTTGTGTAATGCATATGTATGTACATAAGTGATAGTCAGCCGATCGTGCGCTCGATCTGTGGGTGCAGGCGTTCATTTATTTGTGGCTTTGAGAAAAATAAAAATAATAAAGTGAAATAGTAAGTGAAACACATAAATTATATACATTTGTACCTATATATGTGTATATGTATGTATGTTTATATAAAAATCAAGCCACCAAACACATGATTTTTATTATTCACCGATTTCATGCTGACAAATTAGCTTTGTCCACTGCATATTTGAATTTTAGACATTGTATAGACACTTAGTACATACTTATATGTATGTATAAATGTCGTACATATATTTTT